TTTTTTTTTTTTTTTTTTTTTTTTTTTTTTAACGTTGGGAAATGCGTTTACGCATCCCTCCCGTTTCCAGGAGGGTATGTGGGACTCGCCGGCCACAAGATGGCAGAGTGACCGGAATACCCACTAAAACCCAACGATGTTCCTCCTCGGCGCTTTTGGGACCGGGTCGCGGGAACACTTGCGCAATCTTCCGCGACCCAGTCAGCGCTGTCCCTACGGGGACACTCCTTGATGGGGACTTTATAGTCCCCGTTCTCCCTCTAAGGCGCACCCGGAACATCGAGGTGCGCCTTCCTTCGCGTGAGTTGGTCACGGGCGATAGATGGTAGACGCCCGTGACCTACTCAACTAGGGGGGCAGACGGCGGTCGTGGGCGCGCTGCCTGCGCCCCAGCCTGCGGCGGCGGAGAGGGTCTGCAGTAGCATCCTCCTCCCGCCGCCGTTCTGCTGCCTCTTTCAGCGCCATCACCTCCTCACAGAAGGAGGCGATGGCGCACCACGACCTCTCGCTGCTCACCATGGCATTAGCGACGGCGGGCAGCGAGAGGTCATTTCCAATTTCTGCCACGAGTGCAGCCCGCTGGGTCGACCACTGCACGCAAGACTCTAGGGTGTGCTGTGCAGTGTCTTCCGCGTGGCCGCACTCGTGGCACTCCTCCGTGGGCTCTCGCCTCGCCACCCGGCACAGGTATCTCCCGAAACAACCGTGCCCCGAGAGAACCTGCACCAGGTGGAAAGAGAGAGCCCCGTGCTTCCGGCCCGTCCATTGTTCGAGGACGGGCCGAATCGCCTCTATCGTGCGCTGGCCGGCAGACGGCGTGAGGAGCCGTTCACGCCACTTCGTGACGAGCTCGGTCTCCGCCGCCTGCCGCCACGCACGTTCCTCTTCGGGCGGAGGGTGATCGCCATGGATGCGGGCATCCACCCTCCGCCAATACGTCTCTGAGAGCACTTCGGCGTGCAGGTCCCAAGGCGGCGTCCCCGCCAGCACACAGGCCGCCTCGCACGAGATGGTGCGGTATCCCCGGATCACTCTGACCGCCATGACCCTCTGCGGCTTCCGCAGCAGAGTTTGGGTGCGGGCGGTCAGAGCGCCGGACCAAATGGGCGCCCCGTAGAGCGCCATGGACCGCACCACGCCCGTGTACAGGCGGCGACACCGCGAGCTCGGTCCGCCCAGGTTCGGCAGGAGCCGACTTAGAGCCCCCGCGGCTCCCACGAGCTTAGGGACCAGACGCCGAAAGTGCTCTTCGAACTTCCATCGGCTGTCGAGAACGAGGCCCAAATATTTCATGGTGCTCCCGACGCCGATGGAAGTTCCGCCCACCATGACCTCGGACCCGGCTGGAGGCGCCCTACGAGGCCCGTGAACAGTGGTAGTGCCTGCTTTAACATCTTAGCACTGCAGGGCCGGGACGCCCGGTGTAATACCACGACCACACAGAAGACTGGCGTGAAGTGGAAGACGGAGTGTGGTGCTGGAGGGCTAATTTAAGTCACTTTAACAACCTTTTTTATAAGGAGGGGATGGAAAGGGAAAGCAGATTTGACGGTGGAGATGCATAGGAATGAGAAATATGCTCATTATTTGCGTATCCTGTCGGATAATTGTAGGCAACGCATTGCGGATGTCTATCAGCAGCCGTCGCTATGGCATTTTGGCGGATTCAGGTGGCCGCTTGCTCGTTTGCCACCTTATATTATAAAAAAAAACATCGAGATCCGTTCAGCAGTTTGGGCCAAAGAGTATACAAAATAGGTTTAGGCTTCAAACGCTAACATTCATTCATCAACACATTCTTATTTACTATATTAATTAGGTTATCATCATCCACTTGCCCTTATCCCTTACGGAGGGTCGGCACAGTATGTGCTGCTCCATACATCTCTATCAGCCGTCATATCTGAATCCACTCCTTAGTTATGTAAAAAACGATTTTTTTTATATTTGAAATTAAAATTATATGCCATTTTAAGAAATTAGCCTTGGGTCCAATTTTATTGCGAACAAATGACCCTGATTACTGCTTAAACCTTTTTTCCACCTAGTAATTAGTCGCGTTTAAAATTTTTGTATAACCATGGAAGCTGTAAAGATCGTGCAAGGCATTCTTAGTGAAAAAATGGTTTAATGCATAAAAAAGACATATGTCTTACCTAAAATATGAAGTGATTTAAAAAACATTATTCAAATAATAATTCATATACCGATGTGACAACACTTAATCAGAGTAAAATTTGCAATTTTTTTATTATTACGACAATCAAATTAGCCTCAAACAATAATAAAACATTTATAGCTTCACGCTATGAAATGATTAAGTCGCGTTTTTTTGTGATTTTAAATTAACTTCCACTGCCACAGGCGATCTAGAAACTTCCAATCGCTTTGTTGAAAAAGGTTCTTAAATTGAAGATTATCATAATAATAAAAACGTTGCAGTATTATTTCCTAAAACTAATGCTTTTTATTCATCAAAAGCTGAACAAATACATATTTTATGAAACAATATCGGATACTCTAAAATTTTCCATTCGCGCCAAAAATTTTGACAGCTGTGTCAATAGTGCGATTTATAGAGATATATTTTGTTACGGTGTTGCCTCTTTAAAATCTTTTTTTTTTAATGGAACATATTAATTACGTTAATTATAACTAGGTAAGTTAAGTTAATTCGGTAGCTAGTGAAGCCTCTGATCGTAAGATTCTCAACTCTAACAAAATCCATTAAAACCGTTTCGAAAAAGATTATTCTTTTTGTGAGTCGTTTAAAAAGGGCATGTTGCTATTTCAAGTTCGTTATTCCTGGCCTTGATAGATTAAATTGTGAAAAATATTACACTTTTTCCCTGGCAGTCCGTACACTAGACTCCCGTTATTTATAATAAAAAAACATTAAGCCATCCAAAGTAAGTTATAGACAGACAAACATACTAGCTTTAATAATATAAAATTGTATAAATCAATAATGTTTGCATAACGTATAACAAATACATATTTTCGTGTATTTACATTATCTGTGCGTATATAAACCGATAGAAGATGTACACTCTTCAGTGATACCAACATTATCCGACGAAATCAAGATGCACGCTAAAGTTCTTCTGATCCTCTGCTTGGTAATTAGTTAATATTATTTTCTTTAATAATTAGTTATTAATAATGTAGGCTCAGAGCCTACTCTACTTTGCCATAGTCGACTACGTTGGCCAACTTCGGATTGGTTTACTTCACACGTATCTTGCAATTTCTTCACAGATTTCTGCAACACTAAATTTTCCTTCACCGTAAGAACATCGTATAAATCTGTACAATAGCTAAGTTATATAGCCTACGTAATTGAGTAATATTGTAGTATATTATGGCAAAATAATCTTTGCCGTTGCAAACTATTAATTCAATAATAATTCAGTTTTCCTTCCTTTTTCCAAAATTCTTTAGCCATTGATAACTAAATGTACTTTTTGAGTTTTGAGTTTATTTAACTACTAGCTTTCCCGTGCGTCTTCATCCTCGTGAAATTATGAAAATTTTATTTTATTGTTTACATTTGTCATATTATCAATTACAAATGTCAAAATGACATGACATGATGACAATATTGCTTCCTTGATGTTGGCAGTAACTTATGGCCTCTTTCCCACATTAGGGTTTTTATCCAAAATATTTACCTCCTAAGTTTAATGGCGTGAAAATATATAGCCTAAAGCGTGACGTGTGTGCAGGGACGTGTGTGGACGTGAAGTGTAGGGCTTTTTACTAAAAAAAGCATTATTCAAAAATATGCTGCAATTGCTGACATTTTAGGCAACAAAGAAGTGTGTGTTTACGCTTTATTTTATTTATTACTTTATTACCCCTTCTAGAAAATCGAATAGTTACATTTTGTAGTAGCACCCTAATAGATCTATAGATCATTGTTTGTCGATGCCTGAACACGGCCGGGAAGAACACATTGGTAGCAAACGACTTTTATTTTTATTCTGCTTGGATATCGCAAACAAAACTCAGTGTATAAAGGTTTGCTTGTACTTATTTTTAATGCATTTTTCAGGTTGGCTTGGCCCTGAGCACACCAGGTAAGTTTGTTACGCAAATACAATAATCCACTTTTAATAGGTTTTTACTGAAATGTTTTTAGTTACAAAATAATACTCATTGGTTGTACAAAGATAAGATACAAAGCGTTTTTCGTTCCTTCATTTGCTTTTCTGATGAAACCTAAATTACGTGAAAGAGCACATTTTTTGAACATGTAACCGGGTTACCTAATCCTAGCCTGGCAAGGCTATGTTTAATTGATCTCTGAAGTGGACAATTTTTGAAGCAAAAACCCCTTATCGAGTTTCCTGAAAATTTTGTCACCAATCGATAGTGCGTAACGTAAATATTACTCTAAGATGGGGTTGCATATCTTTTTATCTCTATTAGGAATTTTGTAGAATGACGGATTTCATATTGTCCGTTAACGACACTTGCAATAAATATAATTAACGAGCTGTTGCCCGCGACTTCGTTCGCGTGGTATTAGAAAACATACGAAGTATATAAATTACAAAAAGCTATGTATCCCGGGAACCGGACATTTCTCTGGGATGAAGCTTATCTCATGTGTAGTCCAGACTTTGTTTTATATCTGTGCCAAATTTCAATAAGATATGTTGAACCGTTGCAGAATGATCGAGTGAACATTAAAAAACTAAATTAACGAATCCCACGGGAACCGTAACTATTCCCGGGATAAAAAGTGGTCTATGTGTTATTCCACACTATGCTCTAAGCCTGTGCCAAATTTCATGGAGATCCGTTAAGACGTTTAGGCTACAAACGCTAACAAAAATCCATCCATCCATCTAAACTTTCGCATTTATAATATTAGTAAGATAAAGTAGGTATAGAAATAATAAATTATGTATATTATTAGATTATTGTAAAAATGTTAAGTTTTATTTTTGACCGACTTCCCAAAAGAAGGAGGTATTCAATTCGTCGGTATATTTTTTTTTTTTTTTTTTTTTTTTTTTTTTTTTTT